GTTTTGCAAAGGACGGAAGGAAATCCGAATCTTCATCTGAGTCTTCACCTCCTAACGTTGTAAACTTGGAAACTGTTGAAACGTCTAGCTCCTCCATTTCTACTACTATGGATATTTTTTTAACGAAGGTCTGTATGCACCAAAACCAAACAATGGTTTAGGTTTTCAGAAGTAGTGGAATTTTCGGTAAATCGGCAGGACGTGTCTAAACTAATGAAAGATCTTAGGATTTACCTACTTGACAATTTTTTTGAAAATCTAAATTTTACATACAACTTAATTGGAGAAAATATGTTCGTAATATATTTATTGAACGTGCAGCTTATATTTCGATGGTGTCACACAAGTTCGTTTGTATGGTCGTTATTGCAGATTAGAGCAGATCAGAATAGATCAAACCACCTCACATTTGGAAAAGCTCGGGTTTATTAACATCACATGACTTAATACTATTGATTTAAATTGATTTGATGAACCTTAACGATTTCGTTTAAAAAATTAATGCATCGTTACATACCAGATACAAAATTTCATTAATATAATAAAATCTGTAGATCATCATCAAAAAAAAAAAAATTGATAGGATTTCCGATTTCTTAAAACTCCGATACCCGAATATATATAATTTTTTTAGATTTATTTTCCGATTCTCATGTGACATCGTGATCTCCATCTTTTTGAATGATCTGTTAGAGTTTGTAGCCGGTTTTATTTTTCGAATTAAAACCGATTAAAACCGGGTTTAACATCGTTTTCTAACAGATCAGGATATGGAGGTGAGTCAGCAAATTGTTTTTATTCAATAACTTAACAAAATCAAATTTAATAAAATAAATTTTTAAGTTTGTAAAATTATTTACTGCGCTTTTCAAATTCCACTGATTCTCATACACCACACCGGAAATCAGAAATCTAGAATAAATGCAAATCTGTGATTGGTTGAAAATAATTTTTAGCCAATCACGTATTGGCATTTCTGATTCTGTATGAAAATCAGTGGTTGAAACACGCAGTAATTGAGTTATTGTTGTTTAAAGTTTTAAAAAAAATTTACTTAAAAAATTTACTGACTCAACCCCATATTATTATTACAAATAGTACGGTATAAATTATTTATTTATTTGTTTCGATCGGGGTAACTGATACTAAATAAAATCTCATAGTTAAATAAACTTATGCATAAATATTTTTATCTATATTTATTTTTAATTACAGTACACGAATTAGCCCTTTTCTTTTCTTTTTTTTTTTTTGTATTCTTTACATGTGTTAGTCCTAAATATAGATTTGCTTTCATAGAATCATTTAGAAATGAACATATTATGTTAAAATTATAACATTTACTTGCGAATTGTTTTCGATTATTATTGTTATTCCCCGTCTCACTCACTATGATCGCATGACGGGGATTTTCGTGTTATTAGTTATTTGCCGAAAACTTTAAAAATGTAAATGAAGACAAAGAAATGTGATAGAAATGATTAATAACACGAGTCCCTGTCATGTCGTCATATGAAACGGTGTTATTCCACCAGTCGGGGAACTAATTGAAACATTCCCCCAGCGGCGCACTTATGGGGCGCAAAGCGCCCCACATGTGCCGCTGGGGAAATATTTCATTATTCCCGCCGACTCGGGGAATAAATAGTATTTATTATTGTTTATTACTTGTTCTGAAGAATTAAATATATTTCATGTGAATTTACATTTTATTCGGAGCAATAATTGTAACAAACATAAAATCGCTAAGCCACTAAAATTCAAACCTATTTTGCCGTTCGTTTTGGGTATTCAATAGAAACATACTATTAATAAATTCATTTATTTGGTTTGTAATATTTTCTTTCATTAATGTTTTTTTTAAATATACTATTTAGATTCATTAAAGATGAGTTCATCTTTGTATGTAAGTGAGCGAAAAAAATCAAATGCAAAAAAATTTATGTATGTGCATTATTAAACTTTAATTTTCATTGTAAACGTCCCGATCGTCGTAGGGTATCGGATAATACCGTTATTGAATGTTTCGCGCCAATAACTGATGTATCTGACAGAGAATTTGATCGTTCGATGTCTGGGCCCCGTGGGGCCCAGCGATCTCATGACCAAATTCTTTGCCAAATACTTTCCGTTATCGTGATTTGTAAGATCACGATAAATTGTTACGCTTATCAAATAACTAGTTATTGTCTGCTATGCATTCAATAACTATATATAGTATAGTAAGTATACAAAATGCAGTTTAAGCTTAAATTATACAATAAGTTACATTATTTACATAATGTATAGCTTTAGTATATAGATAGATTTATACCTTATGTATAACTACAAACTATTTTTTATACGTTTGGTAATTGCGGACAAATTTGCCTGAACTTATATTTAAAAACTTGGGAGTTTACCTAAGATAAATATGAAACATTGAAATCGAATTTTCAAATTAATTCTAATATCGATTCTGAATTGACTATATGAGTGCTGAAGGCGAAATCCTGTAACTGATCATAAGGTCAGTTACAGGTTTTGCTCTGCAGCACTCATATGGGATCTTTGCTAGGAAAATGACCCTCCGAGGCTATGTTGATTTTGTGATTAAAAAAATAAATTTGCCAGCCGTCTAGTTATCCAATTTGAATGAACTTTTTTATTTTGTAAATCCTATTGAGTTCTGCAAAAAAAAAGTTTATTCAAATTGGATTACTAGTTGGCTGGCAAATTTAATTGCATTCACAAAATCAACATAACCTCAGAGGGTAATTTTCCTGGCAAAGATCCTATATATTCTATTTACGTACGAACTTTTTAGGAGTATAAATTACTTTAAATGGGGACATTTTCTAACCATTTTGAAATTTTTAATTGGGCTGGAACGGAGTGTACTAATTTGTGACTATGTCCGGCACCCACCCTGTAATGTTGATATATACGTATTTGGCTTATTGCCATTCCCCGTAGAAATTTCAATTAAAAGTCTGAAATCCAATCATTAAAATATCTAAAAAAAAAATAATAATAAATAAGACTTCACTAAAGCCAACTGATTAATAACTTATTGTATTAAATCATCAAAACGTAAAGGCTGTAAGAATGATACTAAAAGAAGATTAGCTTTTATGACACCTACAAGAACGGGTTATCGAATAATGAACCAACAAAAATACAAGATCGTCACAAATGTCAAAATTATATTGTTAAGAAAATAAACCCAAGTGATTATAATATTATTTTATATATTTACCAAATTTAAATAATCATTTATTTTTAACTAAAAATTTTAAAACCAAAATAGTTCATCACTACTATTTGTATGCAGGTTAACCACTTGTATTATAGTACTCTTTCTTCTTCACTTACTTGATTTTATTACAATAAATTACAGAGTTTATTTTACCTCCAGCTAGACTCGAACCATTGAT